GCTCTCTCTTTTTGTAATCGGTGGAGCAGGCACGGCAGACCAGGCCTCGGCAGAGACAGGGGACAGGGAAGCCTCTGAGCCTGGCCGGGGAACGTGTGGGCACGTGTGGGGTGAGCATCGTCAGGTTATGCCTGTCTGCTTCTCGTTTCCCAATAGAACAGTCCTTGGGCTGCTTTCACGAGGTCTCCCCTGTCCTCTAGGATCTGAGTCCTTGACCTCCCTGGAGACCTCGCACTTGAACTTCTCCTGGTCACTTCTGGTGGCTCACTGTCCTTTCCTTTGCTGCTTGTGCTGTCACTGGGATTCCTCACCAAGAAAAGAGAGGGGCAGCTTCTCTTATTCAAGAAGTCTCTTCCCAGAGAGAGGAAGCCCACCAGCCGTCTAATCCTCAAAGGGTTGCACAATCTCACATACCAGAAGCCCATTCCACTGTTCTTGCTCCTATCTCTGCTTGTTGTTGGAAGCCATATGGAACATGCATGGACAACTTTAAGCTTTTAATAAGTTTTAATTAGTTTATTAAAGTATCTTTAATAAACAGCCACGTCCTGTATCCCCCACTTCCCTGGAGTGGGAAGAGGGCTGTGGCTTGTGAACACTGGGCTGTCTCAGAGGGTGGACTCTGATCCCAACCCACATACCTGCAGGGATACCGCCGAGAGAGTCGGCCAAAGATCTTGCTGCAGCTGACACAGCAGCCGGGGGCCATGGACGAGAGATGCTGGGTCTGCTGCCACAGGCCGTCTTTCTCTCTGATGGGGGGATGGAGGTGGACACACACACACACAGAGATGGAAATGGACATAGATGGAGAGACAGGGGGACAGCAAGAGCAACAGGGGAGGAACAAAGTGGAAGTGAGAGACAGGGTGACATTGAAGACTATACAGTGAGAGACATACAGAGACAAGGAACAGAGACAGAGACGAGGACAGAGGAGAAAAAGAGACAAGGAACAGAGGAGCAGGAAGACAGGAGAATAATGGAGGAAGAGGCAGGGAGGAGCAGAGCAGCACCATTGGAGAGAGAGATTAGAGTTGTACAGGGAGGCAGAGAGACACAGGAGTAGAGAGACGTCGAACGAGAGAGGAAGACCAACACAGAGACAGGGAGGGAGGGAGAGAGAAATATATAGAGCGATGGAGAAGCAGAGAACGAGACACAGTCACAGAGAGAAATGTATACACACACATATACCACCCCCCCACACACACATACACACCCCACATACACACAAATCCGTCTCTAGGATTTCAGGAAGACAGATGGAAACATCAGTCACATGCTACCTTCTCCAAAGACTTAT